GGAAGATTTTAATTAAACATTATGAGACCAAGTGCGATGGTAACTTTTTTTTTTTTTTTAAAACGATAGTTTATATTGATACTGTAGTATAGAACTTACGAGAGAGGATTTTTTATTACGGGATGTTGTGGTATGCAGCCGTATGATTTTTCAGGAAAACAACTCAAGAAAATATGTATGAATTTAAAAGTAACCCAAGACTCGTATCCTTCTTGAATATGAGCTCTGGGACATCTTGAATGAATTTATAAACATATTTGAAGAAATTCTGACCTACATTTGGAATGGTTGCGGATGATGAGCATCAGTGCCTTCTAATAGTGTGATGTGGATCATCCAACTCAGATTCACATAATGTAAGGATTCTGCTTGAATAAGCATTTGAACAGAACCTCTACTCAGGAGGTTGGGACATCTGTAGATGCCCTTACGAGTAGGAATCATCAAAAGCTAGGTAAAGTCCAACAAAGTGATCCAGCAAGCGTCCATTGATAAGAAGGGGTCTGGGAATCCTTGAACCCACTCCTGCATTCATGCTGTGCTGCATAGGTAGTTTCATCACCGAAAATATCTTTAGACCATTCAATTTTTTAGGGTGAAACTCTGCGTCACTTGAGATTGACTTGAGTTACTGAATACTTTTTTTTTTCATTTAAGGTGCCTAGCCTGTAACATTTGCCTCGAGGCTGAATTCCCTTGTGGGATCTAGATACTTTTTTTTTTTTTTAATCATTGATAATACTTATATAATCTAATCTATCATACTATTTTATAGGAAAGAAGAGCCTAAAGAGGCTATGTAAGAGATTAGTAGGTATACAGACATGACTAGATCAAATGAGTGTTCTGACACCTCTTTTAAATTTTTTTCACTACCTCGACCTACATTTCAAAAAAAGATTTAGTACATTTTTAATGGCCATTGAGTCAAGGTTTCAATGGTTTGGGATCTAGATACAAGGGTGCTCAAAACTCTTCTTTCTATTTGTTGAACTGATTATTTCATTTTGACAGATGCTCCTTTCGTCTTCCTTTTTTAGCCTGCGTCTTCCTCAGGTGACTAAGATGAAAAATCTGGTGATTGTTGCTTAAAAAGATGAATTCGTCTCGTCTTCAAATTTTTGTTTGGCCACATATACATGATTTAATTTTGTTTGGTCACATGTACATGACTGTGGGGCAATTCCCTGCTGCCACCACCAACCCAAACAAGAAGATTGCAAACTATTTTTACTTGTATCGTTGAGACGCGTCCAGTTTATTGTGGGAATGATACTCCAAAGTATCATCAGTTGTAAGTTGGAGAATCAGCCAGTTTGACGTGGGTATGGCACACCAGGTATCATCTGCCGCAGGATTGGTTTTCCAGGTATCATCAGTCGAAGGCTGAGAAATCTTCTCTCTCTCTCTCTCTCTTAGTATTTACATTCATCGGCTATCTTTACCTTGACAATTTCTTCAGTCTTTTACGGTTATTATTTCTTGAATTCAAGATCCCACTGAATTATCAACTTGAAAAAATTAACCAATATTCAAATGATAAAGGGTTGAATAAAGCATGAATCCAGAATAAAAAAAAACACAGGCCATGATGCTAGAAGCATGAAACGTTTGGTTGGGCCGGAAATTCTGATTAGTCATAAACTTCTTAACTCTTCTTCTTCAAAAGGGGACGTGCAAACTTTGGATTGATCTCACACCAATTACAAGTATATCGAGTTAAAATCATCAATTACATTTCAACTAACTAAAGACACATTTAATAAAATTGAAATCTAAAGTTTAAAATTTAAAATTATTAAATTATATAATTATTAAATATTAAATTTAATGCATTTAAATGTATAATTCTGACTGAATAAATAAATAATTTATCATTTAATTTTAAACAATTTATCTATAAAATTCAATAACACTTAATTAATTTAAATACTCAATTTTTAATTATCGAATATTTTAAAATTTAAATTCATTAAATTTAAGTACCGAGGATATTTAGCAATTTTCTTTTCATGACTCTTTTTTTGATGGGATGATAAAGTTCTTTGAACATGTACTTGGTGTCAAAAGCACTCCTTTTTTTGGGTTGGGGATTAAATTCTGATATGAGGTATTGAAAGAAAGGGAACGATATATTGTTGGCCTTTTTTTTTTTTTTTTGGCGTAACGGTACATCTAGTTGAAGCTAACCTACTTCAACTCCTACTTAACCCTATCATATATTTGGATTTTTATAAAAATCATTTTTCCCTTTCGATGCACACCAAATCGAGAAAAATCGATAGTCCCATACAAGTCAGGATATACAGCACAGCGCACGAATCGAACCCGATCATGAGAAGCTAGCAACACAGGCCGACCCTCAACTGCTGTGCTATGCCTGGGGCGAGTGGCTGATATTAAACTAACTCAATTCAAACTGTGTGGATATTTGATTTTCAAAGGTTTTCTGTCTGGTCATCCAGTTTGAGGGTAGGTGGCGGTTAATTTAAGACAAGACCAATAATGCAGAACATCAAACCAGAATAGAATAATACTACTATAGTACTTATGCTCTAACCAAATTAAAAGGAAAAATTAACAAGCGAATCACACAAGGAGGGAGACAAATCGCAAAAAAAAAAAAAATAAAGAAAAAGGTCCAAGAAAGCGTCTTTTCTTTGGACCGGCTCTGCTTCTGCACTTGTGTAAGAATTAAATATAAGTGGCCGTCCATGCTCGATGGCGCTTGGATTTTCAATCAATTGTTTAACTTCTTTATATATATATATATATATATATATATATTATGTAAAAGAGTTGTGTAACTCAAGTATGTTATGACGCACTCATGCCTGCTCCCATTAAATTTTTTTTTTTTAATAAGTGGAAGTTGTGAAATTTATGCTAATAAACATATCTCGAGGGCATCAGATTCTGAAGCAATTTCGCTATTGTTATTTCAACGGTTATCATTTTTGCTTTGTTGATGCTAAGATTTATATGTGCGGCCTATTAAAAACCCATTTTTTGTTATATCAGTAAGGTGCTCAAATTTCCGCCCTGTATTGTTTGAGAAGGGATTCCGAATATTTTCTCTTCTTGTTCAATGAATACAAAAAGAAAGCAATAACCTTAACCAGCAATATATAAACATTAAATGAACAACTAATAAGCATGGAGGAAGTTTTACGACTCTAAAGTCCAAACCGCCGTGATACAACCGGAAATGTATCTTCTCAAGCTGCCGCCTGCCCGATTCCCCCCCACCGGTCACTTTGAATTTTGAGCCATTTTCGTATTTTGGACGAATTGAACCCTTAACAAACAATTCGGCCTCGAGGGTTCGGTTTGAGTTAAAATTTTAACGGATTCAAACAAGAATTAAGATTTGGTTAATATATCAAATTGAATTTGAACTTGTACATAGTTGGCCCGTTAAGGCTTGAACAATTTTTAATATTTTTATTTAAAATATTTATTAATAACTTATGTAAAATTATGCGTTTATTATTTTACTACATAGATATTATATATAATTTCATATTAAAATTAAAAAATTAAATAGCATTTTGATATCTTAAATCGAATTTGAGTCTATCGAATATTAAATTGAACTTAAATTAGAATAAAATCTAATTTTTTTATTTTTTATTTTACAAATCTTGATAACCAAACGAGTTTCACCAAGCAACTGACCTTTTTATTAAATAATAACCCTTTAAATTAAATGGGAATTTAATGTGCCAATTGGATTCCAACTATTTTGCTTCCTTATCCTTATCACAACTTAGGACGCATTTAATAAACCTAAAGTCTGAAAACTAAAAACTGAAAATTAAAATCTGAATTCGTTAAGTTACTAAATCATTAATAGTAAATCTGACATTTGAGTATATATCACATTAAATTAAGTGATAAGTAAATAGTTTATCACCGTTGTTTAGAAAATTTAGTATCACTTAAGTAATTCAGATATATTTTTTTTTTATCAAATGCATTAAACTCGTTAATTTAAATGTTGAATTGGGTTATTAAATAAGAGCTTAGTCAACTCCGAATGCCTGTTGGGAACATTTTACAACATAAATTCATCATAATAGACCAAACCAGCCTAGGAGATTCTTTTTTTCCTATTTAAGGAAGCCATGGAGATTCTTGGTTGGTCCTTGGGCGTTGTCATGCGCTTTTGCCATCAACTATGGTCGAAGTGAAGGTAACACATTAACGAAGGATCAGCAGCCAATTGGCAATTGTCAACACAACAATCAATTAGCAAGCATGAATCACTTTTTCATAAAAAAATTATCTGCTTAGAAAAAAAAAATCAAATCTGGATTTGTTTGAAATAGTGAAATAATACCTGCTTCAAAATACACATTCGTATGTTTTGTGCACTGTTCATAATTACCTTGGGGTACCATTGGAGCACTAATGAATAATCACATGTGAAAAAATTTTAGTTGAGAAATGAATCAACCTAGTCTTAAACCTTAAACAAGTACTAGCATCTTGGACATGACTCATTTTTAGTGGATTCTCTTCCAATTCATACAACCATAGAAAATGGAAAAAGAACCCATGAGAAAAAAAGCCAAGTCCCTAACATCAACCCGTTAATTTTAATTCAATCTTTGATTGATGAGCACAAATTTTGGCATCTACTTATTAAGAAACGATATCAAAAGTTGCTTTCGCTCAACTAAACATTAGCTGAACCTTAATTCTGTCCGATTAATACAAAAGCTAAACTTCAACAAAGTTCGAAGTTTGCTAACAACTAAAGCAAGATCAATTATCACGACCAAATGTGGAAAAATTCTATTCCGATTCTCCTGAATCGAAAGGATTGGTGAAAGGATTTTGTCTTGAAAGGAACAGTTGACGTTTTTGACGAATGAGCAAAAAATTCTGAAAATGCCATTCAATCCATTTTGTCGCCTATAAAATATTTTAGCATTTAACTGCTACTAAATAATTGAGTAGTTAAATGCTATATTCCCCCGGTCCACGCTTTGCTGTTGGATTGATCAAATGTTGATGATTACAGAGCTTAATCCAAAGGGAGCCGGCAGCCAGCTAGCAGCCTCGAAAAAGCCGGCATCCTTCCCTTTTCCCTCTTCTTGTTACAATTTCCCCCCCTGCTCATCATGAATGAGACTTGTGCTGACTGTTCATGTCAAATCCGTACTTTTCAGATTTTCTTGAGTCCTGTTAAAAGTCGGTTTCTGTATCATAGATTCTGATGACTGAAAGACCATTCAGAGACAAGAGATAGATCATCTGAATTCGGAAGCTCTTATAGCTTCTTCAACAAGTTTCTTCAGTTGGTTTCTTGAAATTCTGAAACACTCCAGCTCAGAGATTGCTGCTTCTTTTTTCAGGCGAAAGAAGGCAAAAACAAGCAAGCACGACTCTGCCCAGAGAGTTATCCTTCATTCTGCAATTTCAGTACTTTATCTATCTCTAGCATCGTTTTTATCGAGAGTTTCTCTCCATACATTGTACAGTAATTAAAAGCCAGTTATTTTTAAGCTTCTGGGATAGTTGGCTTTTAGACGATTGGTGGTAGTAGCACGTGGAAGAATAGGTTAGGTTTCTACGTACCCAACAAATTGCAATTTTACCTGATGTTAGAAAAACATTAGGCATATCATTTGAAATTCATTGGTTTGGTGAGTTTGGTTACGAAATGGCTGGAAATTATAGGTTTGAGATGGATCATACAGATATTGTGAGATCATTAATCACAACCACTGGGAGTTTTATTCAAGATAGGTTGATTGATAAAGAACAGAGAGCCCTGCAAAAAGAACATTGTGCTGAAAGACTAGCAGCTGAAGATGGAAGCTCTGATAAAGATACCGAAGTTAGGTACTCTGATCAAGCCGTCCTTGCAAATCTTGACTGGGGAATTGAGGCCCTCGAAGAGGCAATTAGCACTTCCAACATGGAGACTAAAATGGCAAGATTAGATTATGCTGAGAAAATGTTACAAGTTTGTGCAATGTTGAATTCTAGTCAGAGAACTGCTGGGGTTCCCAATTTCTATTTGTCTGCATGGGCACATTTGAATCTTTCCTACTTGTGGAAGTTGAGAAACAATGTTCAGAATTCGGTTCTTCATATCTTGGACATGTTTATCATAGACCCTTTTTTCTCCAGGATTGATTTCGCTCCTGAGCTCTGGAAATCATTGTTTCTTCCGCACATGAGTTCCATTATTGGATGGTATTCGGAGGAGAGGCACAGGATAGTGATGGATGTGATTCCTGATTCTAATGACTTGTCCTTTACGGTCGATTTTGATAACTACTTCAATGAATCACTAATCACATCTGTGAGGCCAGATCAAGCAGAAAAAATGCAAAAGCTAGAGCATCTTTATGGGCAATCTTTGGATGAGAATACAAGGCTTTATGCCAGATATTACAAGGAGTGCATGAACTATGACTCTGCCACAACCAAGAAGGTGATCCCTATGATGCCAATTGCAGAGCCACCAATGACACCTTTGCATGAGGTGAGCCATAAGATCCCTGATTATGTCAAATTTGGTCCAATCTTGCCCAAGAGTGCTGGGTTTTCTCCTGTTCTGAAAGCTCAAGGAGAGACAAGCGAAGCGTCTAGGTAAATCTGATTTTACATTAATTGCTCAGAGAAAATATCATATCAGTCGTCCTTAATTTATTGAAAGTTTCATGGTAGTAACTTAACTTTATATAGTACTTTTAAAAAAAAATAAAATTATTCATATTTCTATGGAACCGAAGTTGCTGAATGTGGTTCCTCATGACTTAAAGCAGATTAAATTTAGCTTCTGCATCTGATGAGAATCTCGATGACTATGCCATTTGGGATCCAACTGTAAGATTACCAATTTTGTTTTATAGTTATAGTGAAACTTCATTGCTCATAGTGGCAGTACATGTTTTGTTTATTACCTTGTTCTCCGTTGTCAGCAAGGAATTCCCGAGGAGAGTGAAGACGAACTCGATTATGAGCCTGAGGCATGTGAAGAATCTACAAACAGAGGTGTCAAAGCTGCACCTTCTTATAGCAGCACCATAATCAATAAGGATATAGAAGCGACTTTGAAAGTGCAGGCGACCAGAGTGAGGAGTCGAAACCAAACACCTAATGACTTCTCCCCTGTGGATTCTCCCAAAAAAAAGGAGTCACCTTCAAAACCAGAGACACATGGTAGGAAGGAACCCACATCTTTATTGCGTTTGGTGTCCACCCGAGCCAAGGAAAGGACAGCCTCTGCTTCTTTGGCTGATTCTCCAGATTCATCTCGGCATTCAAACATTAGTTCAGTAGATAATGATAATGAACTGATGGTATGTTACCAATCTTAAGTTATTTGGCATTCGTCTTCAATTTTTTTTACTTTTATGTACCCAAAACTTTACTTATGAAGTCTTACTAAAGAAACTTAGAAACTCAGGAGCAGCAGAAATCTGGAAGGAAAAGCAGCAGTCATTCTCGAAGGAGCAGTCAAGTCCTGGAGAAAAGGTAATGGGGATGCAGATGGACAAGTCACTTCTTTCCCTTACCCCCATAATTTGTGAGAACGAAGATTGAATTTGCCATCTCTCAACTGCACGTTAAGCATAGCTTCAATTCTTTAAAGAAGCTACTTTCAGAAATTCTCATTCTGAATATTTAATGAATGATTTTCCTTTTACGTTGAACAATGGCAGCTTCTCAAATGAAAGTGATGAAGGTAACAATAGCATCATCTCTCTGCTATCGGACAAGCAGACTCCTCAATCAAGGCCGCCAAAAGATTTTGTATGCCCTATAACAGGGCAAATCTTCCATGACCCAGTCACCCTTGAAACAGGACAGACGTATGAAAGAAGAGCTATCCAAGAGTGGATAGACAGAGGAAACACAACTTGTCCCATTACCCGGCAGCCTTTCTTGGCCACTGAACTGCCCAAAACAAATTATGTCCTAAAAAGACTAATTACCTCTTGGAAAGAACAGCATCCTGATCTTGCGCAGGAGATGTCCTATGCTGAAACTCCAAGAAGTAACTTAAGCACACCTTCATTGAATGAGATGTCATCAGATTCCAATCCTTCCGGGATGACTAGTTATCCAATTCGAAGATTAATGGACAACGATCCAGAACATAAACCCCGAAGATTTATGCGAGCTGCAGTGTCAACATCACCAACCAGCGTACTATCTCAACCTGCAGTGGAAACAGTTATAAATGGACTTAGACCTTACATTTCATGTCTCTGTAATTCAGAGGATCTACAAGAATGTGAAGCAGCAGTCTTGACAATAGCCAGGATATGGAATGACTCAAAGGTTGAATCAGGCATTCATTCCTATTTGTCTTCACCAGCAATAGTAAATGGCTTTGTTGAGATATTGTCAGCATCTTTAAACAGGGAAGTTCTCAGAACAACAATTCACATTCTCTCGCAGCTCATATATGCAGATGATAGTATTCGAGAAGTTCTCACCAGTGTGGACACTGATTTTGATTGCCTTGCTTCTCTAATGAAAAATGGTCTTGCTGAGGCAGCAATACTTATATACCTTCTAAGACCGTCATTCTCTCAGCTTTCTGCTCACAACCTTATACCGTCTTTGACACAGCTCATTTCCAGCAAGAGCGAAGATCCCCTCGATCTTCAATTTGTTATGGCGCCCAAGGATGCGGCACTAGTTTTGCTTGAACAGATCATTACAGGAGGTGATGAGACGACCAGGTTGACAATCACTATGGATATTATATCCACTGGTTCAGTTCCTGCCTTGCTTAAGTGCCTAGATAGGGTGGATGGAAGACATTCCAGTGTGACAATACTGCTATGCTGCATTAGGGCAGATAAGAGTTGCAGAAATACAATAGCCAGCAGAATTGAGTTGTCTCCTGTGCTTGAGTTATTTCATGCTGGAAATGATAGTGTGAGAGGCACATGCATAGAATTTTTCTCTGAGTTAGTGCATTTGAGCAGGTATATCAGAACTTGCTCCCCTTTTCACGTTCCACGTCTATCACATTGCTTTCACTGATCATCATATTATTCTCCTTCCCGAACAGACTTCATGAATTTTGTTAGAAAGATATATTGATTAGGCTGCTTCTGCTCATAGTTTCTCTGTTATATTTATATCACAACAACTTTAGATGCATGTTTATCATCCTTTGTGGGGAAGTCGTGCTATAGGCTTCCTTAGCATATGCTTGTTAATCTTACTTTCGAAAAAGAGTACATCACTTTGCCAAGTGCCTGATATGCTAATGCAACAATGCTGGTTTTAGCTCCCCCCCCCCCGGGGCGCCAACGCCCCAAAATTCCAGAGGAAAAACAAAAGATTGTAGTTCATTTATTCTTATGCTACAGGAGAAATTTGTGCAACCGGATTCTGCAAATAATTAAAGATGAAGGAGCATTTAGTACCATGCACACGCTTCTTGTTTATCTACAAATGGCTCCAATGGAGCAGAAACCTGCAATTGCTTCCCTTCTTCTTCAGTTGGATCTCCTGGTTTGTCTTCTAAGGACTCTTGTTTAGTTGCTTTTAATAGGCCACTGGTTTGTTTCTAATCAAGAAAGCAATACAAATTGAGCTAACAAGGATATTCTTTTTAGGTTGAACCAAGGAAGATGAGTATCTATAGAGAAGAGGCAATTGAGGCATTAATAGAAGCACTTCGCAAGAAGGAATTCCCAGCCTCTCAAATTGCAGCTTTAGATGCCTTATCATCTCTTCCAGGGCATATGAACGCCTCGGGGAAGCCCTACACTGAAGCCTGGTTGCTTAAGCTTGCTGGATTTGATCAACCTTACAATGCTTTGTTGAAAGGAGAAAAGCTACAAACTTATGAAAGTGAATTCAGCGAAACTGTGGTATATAAGTGTAACCTGCCTAACTGTCTCTGATAAATCCACAAATTATTCTATTTCACATGCAAACATAAACATGAATTTGGAGATGAAATTCCAACTTTTAATAACTATCCGTAGGAAGAAGAAGAAAGAGCTGCTAGATCTTGGGAAAAAAGAGTGGGATTTGTTCTCTGCAACCATGAAAAAGGAGCAATTTTCAGAGCTTTGGAGGAGTGTATCAAGAGCAATTCACTAGAGATAGCAAAATCTTGTCTTGTCATCAGCACATGGCTCATCCATATGCTTTACAATTTTCCTGATACTGGGGTAAGAGATGCAGCTCGGAAGTATTTGCTTGATCAGTTTATAACCATACTACAATCATCAAAGAACCTTGAGGAGAAGATTTTGGCAACTCTTGCTTTGGGAGGCTTTATTACTGATCCAGGTATAAACGTAGTTTGCTGATGATGTACAGATCAAAAGTTGACTAATTATAGCCAAGTTGCTTAGGCCAATCTTCATTTTTCTCAAGGTGCACTTAATGAACTGGGGGTATATGCCAAAAACATGTACAAAACATTGAGGAAGCTGAAGCGAAACTCTGTAGTGGTCAATGATTTGTTGAAAGCTTTGATAAACTTGCCATCAATTGATGCGGTGAGTATGAAGTATGCATCCTTTTTTATGGAGTAACTAATCAATTTTGTCTAACAAGATGAATTCCAGGCAGAGTTCTGGTGCTACGCTGAAGGTCCGGAGTTAGATGCATCCATAAATGGTGAAGTTCTTTCCATTCTTCACACCAGAGGCCGACTTATCAGCAGCCATTCTGATGGAACCATGAAAGTATGAGCCCAACATTGGTTCAGTTTATTGGCTCCCTCATAATGTGATTATTGTTTTCACACTCATCAACTTACATCTGTTTTGATGGGAAGTCCTATGTGATTATTGTTTTTACACTCGTCAACTTACATCCGTTTTGTTGGGAAGTCCTAGAAGGATGTTTTCAAAGAGCATTTTCTCGTTTCTAATAATTTTTATTCATTCAGGTGTGGGATATCGGAAAGAAGATTCCAAGATTAATTCAAGAAGTTCGGGAGCACAGTAAAGCGGTTTCATGTCTCTGCCTTTCATCATCTGGTACCAAAGTGTTCAGTGGCTCCTTGGACAAGACAATCCGGGTAAGAGATCAGTCCTCTGTATGTACTTGAAAGGGGAAACAAAAGCTAAATTGAACTCAATTACACTTCTGTTGTCAGTTTAGATTGGGAACTACATGGCAAGCAAAATTGAGTGTAGTTCACAGCGAATTGATTGTTAGCCTCCAGAAACCAATATCATATACCTACTCACCTACCTAAGAGCATTACCATAAATTGCAATGGAGCCCTGTGTATGAGCTCTTCAGTTTGTTATGAACTTAGTGTCTTTCTTTGCTAATTCCTGTGACAAATGCGCATGAACTAGTTATTTGAATAATCCAGGCATTCATTGCCTTGGTATAGCCAAAACAATCTAAATGAGTCTTGTATCCAGGTCTGGGCAATCAAGCAGGCAGAAATTCAGTGTGTTCAAGTCCATGATGTTAAGGAGGCAGTGCTGGAGTTGTATGCCAATAGCAACTTCGCCTGCTTTTCGTCTCAAGGAACTGGAGTAAAGGTCAGTGCAGCAAACTTTTTAATTCATCTAAACATGTCACAAAGCACACAGCTAACCCCTGCTGAACATCAAGTTTTTGCAGGTTTATAATTGGTCGGGAATTCCTAGGCATGTTAATTTTAGCAAAAATGTGAAATGTATCTCCTTGTTGGGCGATAAGATCTATTGTGGCTGTACCAGTTACAGCATACAGGTACAGTTCTTTGAATGACCTCCATAATTGTCATTTTGACCTAGTCATGCAGTTTTTCTTTGGAGAGAAAAACTGCTCCAGCTCCAGCATAGCCAGCAATAAACACAGGTAGCATAAAACTGGTGTTTTTCTAGTACTAAATTCATAATTCACTTGACAGGAGGTGGATTTAGGAACTCTCACATCAACCATATTCTACACTGGTACAAGGAAATTGCTAGGGAAACAAACAATATTCTCCTTGGAAGTCAACAGCGGTCTTCTTATTGCTGGCGGTTCCTCGGTTGATGGAATAGCAGGAAAGGTAAACCATCTACGTTTTTGTATCTGGCATGAACGAGAAAACATGAAATTCTTGACTTGCCTATCATTTTTGACACAAAATTTGCGTATGAAGGTGTTCTCTCTCCCGAGCAAGGCCGTCCTAGGAACGCTGTCCACTGGTTTGGACATACAGAAGATAACAGCCAACAATGACTTCATATTTACGGCTTCAAAATGTGGAATAATAGAAGTATGGCTGAAAGAAAGAGTAACAAAGATTGGTTGCATCAGAAAGTCCGGTGGGAATAACACGAAATTGTTATCATTGGCTTCCGATATGGATGGACAAATGCTTTTTGGTGGTTCCTCCGATGGCAAAATCCAGGTCAGCCACAGACTTCTTGATTATCTTGGACGTCAAATGTCGTTCATTTTTAAGACTGGATCTCACTAATTGCCCTTGCATTGCAGATTTGGACGCTAAATTGAATGTTGAAACATGCGGAGTTTTCCTGTATAAACTCAGCAATGGTTCGCCAATTGATTGCCGCCTCATGCTGGTTGTAGCATCGCTCAGTTTGCCTGCCCTCTACGATGCACAATTTTGCAGTGAACCAGTTCTAACTATAATCTTAAATTCTTTTTAGTATGTTAACCTTTTCTGAGGGGAGTTGCAGCTCTTTCTCTCTGCATTTGCCACCATTGATTCTCCTAGTACCAAATTATGTTATGTGGGAAAGGTTTCAGTTGAAACAGATGCATCATGCACTGACAATTTCACCAGCTTGCAAATTCGATGTCCTCGTCCTTGCATTTCTCCCTCTTCTTCAACTTGTATGGCAAACAAATCCGAATCTTTCAGTAAAAACTTAATCATACGCTTTTTATCAGAGTCATTGGAAGCCTCTGTCAAACCACGAAAATAGCAAATGAGAATCTTTATACGATGTTATGTCTCCTTCGCAGATGTTCAGGCAAGTATTAAAACAACCAACCTGAATTCAACCGAAGGAATGCAGTGATGTTGGGAGCTGCATTCATCCCTAAGGCATAGAATATATGCAGCCAAAGAGCCAAACTCCAGCCCCGTAACACATTTGACCCCTAAACTCAATTTATCTCAACCAGGTTTCCCATTCAATTATTTGCAACTTACCAGCCAGTACCATGTTTTAACCTGTTATTATTTTTATTTTTTATTTTATTTGGAAAAAAAAAAAAAACCAAAGGAGTGATCTGTAAACCCCACATCAGCACTCAGAATGAAAAGGACTAGATAGATAAAAATCTGGGAAATATCAAAGATCTTTCGATCTCAATCCAAAACTAATCCTCATGGTGCCAACCTAGAGTTTCCAGTACTCGGTGAAATTTTCAAAATTTGTTAGTTCTCTTATTAAGGAGATCCTCGTTAGCTTCTGTTCCAGGCTCCAACGTAGCCTATCAGCCCAGTAATGATCATCAAAAAAGAGGAAAAAAAAAAGATATAATCAAATCAAAATAAAAGAAAAGGTTGAAAAATAGTATGAAGATGGGTGATTGGAAAAGCAAGCATTCAGAATGAGTAGGAGGTTTAGTATTCCTTTTCATGAATTTAGTCGGAATAATTAGTATAAATTCATCATCATTATGCTTGCCCCAATCGGAAGAACAAACTACTGCTACTAGACCATTAAATAAGAGGCAAAAACAGCAAATCTCTTTTTTTGAACGAAAAGAGAAAGCTAGACATTTTGGACAGAAAAAGCAACAGAGAGCATCAGAAAACTTGGATTATTGCATCAACAAGGACACCTGAAAGGGTGCCTCAGACGACCGTCGTGAGAATTTTAATCCAATATTCATCCTTTGGCGCCCCCCAGAAATTTCAATTACCAGCATGAACAACATACATGTAAAGTAGGCTATCCTATGGGGAAGAGAACTACTAGACAATTGAGAGGACAGAAGTAATAAAGAGAATATCAACCCAACCATCGAATCAGACCTTTGAGAAATTAGCTATGAAAGAAGATCCTCAATCCGACTGTTTCATGCAGGTACGCATCCGCGCAATTTAAAGTGATGGGCGATGTGTTATTAGGGTTTCCTTCAAGCTGTTACAATTACCATCTTACCCTCATCCAACCCACAACCTTGCATTATTTTCTGGGGGTGATTCTTTTCGGTTTTTCCCATTCAAAAAAGAAAAAAAAAAAAAAATTTCCAAGCAATTTCAAGCAAACATATATATGTACACATCCTAATACATGTACTTATTTGATAAACTTGTCCTTTCGTAAGAAATTGCTACAATTATTTTGTCTTTTTGCTTCTGGTTTGGGCTGCAATGTATGTGAATTTTTATTTTATTTTATTTTATTTTTGTAGTTTTGGAGATTTTTCCTTGCACATTGTTCATCCATTATTTTATCTTATATTTATTAAATTTCAAGAAAGGTATAATTTTCCTACAAAAACTTATAAAAAAATACAATTCAAATGAAATAATTCTTGTCTTGTAATAATTCAACCAAAAAAAATGAGATAATATGTTTAACAATAAATCATATATACATTGACAGTGTATACATTATCACCGTTAGATTCATGATATGTGTGCAAAAGTTGAATTTCAAATTTAAATTTTACATAGTTGTTATTCATCAAATGCTGATATTGTATACACTGTCAGTGTAGGAAAGATTAATCTTATGTTGAATAAATATTATATATACTGACAGTACATACGCTATCACCGTTAGATTCATGACATGTATGTAAAAGTTGAATTTTAGACAAAAATGAACTCTAATATTAAGATACTGGTACATGGAGCCTACTAAAGCCTCGTGCACATAGGTCTCAAGCTCACCTCATAATATGTAAATTGGTTTTGAGTTGAAGAATGATCGGATTAAATGAACAAATATGCAATTTGTAAAATGGTCTAGAAAGTAAAATCATATCTATACAATAATAAAGAGTCTCTAGAGTTAATTTGGTGTTAAATTTATCCATTAACTTTTAGTTAACTTAATCTATTAATCTATTAATGTCAGAATGTGTGTTCAGAGATGGCTAAATTCTGGTGGGGGCAGAGGGAGGATGAGAAGAAAATTCACTGGATAAAATGGAGTAGAATGACAGATATCAAAGCTGAAGGGGGTCTGGGATTTAGAGAATTGCAGGACTTCAACTTGGCATTATTGGGGAAATAGTTATGGAGAATTTTGATGCAGCCTAATTTGCTGATGAGTAGAGTTATGAAAGCGAGGTACTTTGGTGGGAAATCCATATGGGATGCACAACCAAAAGGCTTAGATTCATGGTGCTGGAAGAGTTTACTGAGTGCCAGAGAAGTGCTGAAGGAAGGACTAAGAAGGAGGGTGGGAGATAGGGAATCTATTAAAATCTGGGAAGATAGGTGGCTGCTAGGGATAGAGGATGGGAAGATAAGGTCTCAGAGGAAGGTTGATAGCAAGATTCAGAGGGTTAGTGAGTTGATCAAGGATGGTAAGTGGGATAGAGAATTGCTGAGGTAGGAATTTGAGGAGAATGACAAGTTGCAAATACTAAAGATACCACTGAGCTTGGGGAAGGTAATGGATAGGACCTATTGGGCAAAATCAAGTTCTAGTGTGTATTCTGTCAAGACTGGCTATAAAATAATTAAGGAAATGAAGAGAAGACAGTGTCAGCGGGGAGGAACTTTAGAACCAAGTAGCAGTAGGATGATCAAGTCTCAAAACTGGAGTTTTCTGTGGGGCTTGAGCATGCCAAATAAATTCAAACACTTCGTTTGGAAATGTTTGCAAGAAATATTACCAACAAATGCAGTGGTGAAGCGAAAGTGTGGTAAGGGGGATCATGTGTGCAAGTGCTGTGGTGATAACCCTGAGACATTAAAGCATACGTTTTTTCTGTGCTGTAATGCTAGAGCAATCTGGAAGGTGGCACCATTGAGGTGGGATGGATTGGAGGAGTTTAGGAATAATTTTTGGCATTGGTGGGAAGAACTTAGGGGGGCTGTGACTCGAAAGAGAGGAAGGGAGCACATAATTCTCATGGTAAACATCTTGTGACAGATTTGGAAATCCAAGAATAATAAACAATTCAACAACAGGAGCAGTGAGCCTATAGTGGTGGTGAATAAGGCACTAATGGAATGGAATGAGTTTCAACTGGCACAAGGGGGGGAGCAAAACATTACAAGTTGGCAGTGGGAGAGCAGGAGAAGGGCAGGAGATGGGATGCACCACAAGCTGGCTGGATCAAGCTCAACACTGATGCAGCTTTGGACCAACAGCGTAACAAGGCAGGATGGGGTGTAGTGGCCAAGAACAACTTAGGGGAATTGGTAGGTTCATGGGCAATGCCAAATGAAGGCTGTGCTGAGGCACAGGTGGAGGAAGCTCTGGCAATAAGAGAAGCTATGGTAATAGGCAAAAGAATGGGATGGAGGAAAGTGGAGTTGGAATCGGATTGTAAGCTAGTAGTAGACAAAATCAATGCAAGGGAGGAGGAAGTCAGCATAGCCACAATTCAATTGGATATCTGGAGATTGATGAAAGATTTTGATAAATGTTGCTGTTCCTATACTAGAAGGAGCAACAACTATGTAAGTCACTATTTAGCAAAATTTGCTATAATAGTCTAAATGATGTAGCTGAATGGAAGCTTAGCTTCCCAGCGTGGTTGCTTGAGTTAGCTCAGGCTGATTTACAGGAGCAGTTGCTCTGACATTGTATCAGGTTATATTTAATGCAATGTTATCGTTTGGAAAAAAAAAAATCTATTAATCTTTAATTACTAAGATAATTATCAAAATAACTATTAATTTATTAAACAAAATTTCATAAAATTTAATTTATTCTTAAATTACACACATGTGGGTGCGCTTTTAGCGCTAGTTGGAAAAACACTTGTAACAATAGTATAATGTTGAGTTAATTTTAGACTGTAAACAAACCAGCTTGCCCTTGCTGGCTTGCTCAAACAACACACAAAAAAAAAAAAAAGCAAAAAAATAAAAGGGAATTTCGCCAATTTGGTCCCTAAATATTTTCACTTAAATCAATTTCATCCTTCATGAAATATTTTAACCAATTTAGTCCTTGAACTAGTTTTTTACTTTCAATGTAGAACTTTTTACTACATTTTACTCAATTCGTGTGGACCAACAGGGGTATAATTGTCACATTGGCTTAATCTGTTGCAATTATTCGCCGAGGAGGAAGAAGATTGATGCACGAGGTGATTTACCTCCACTCGTTATGGCACCAGGGGCCGCCTATGAGAGCAACCCAACAACCCACACCATCTGGCCTTCTCCATCACCCCCACAATCCCATACAATTCAAGAAGCAAGAAAGAATTAAACCCGCAAACAAAAAAGGCAGAAAGAACTCCGATAGAAAACAATTGCAAGAATCCCAGAACCCAACCCTATTGCCTTCTCCAGCTTCCGGAAAAGAATGGCCTTGCAATCGCACTTGTAATTCACCTCCGACCACCACCTCCGGCTGGGGAACAAGCTGGCCGTAGTCGAGTCCGCAGACCCTTCTACCCTCCTCTGCAGAAAAACCCAAACTTGCAGCCAATCAGGCTCAATTTAAGGCTTTGCAGATAACTGAAGAATTTTTTAAGTCTGGCGATGATGATGATAAGGAGGATAGTGAGGATGATGATGATGATGATATGCTGGAGGAGGAAGAGTATAGGTTTTTCTTTAAAGTATTTACAGAGGATAGGGAGTTGAGGGAGTATTACGAGAAGAATTATTATAATGGGGAATTTAATTGCTTAGTTTGCGATGGTTTGGGGAAAAAGTTAGCTGGAAAGAAGTTTTAAGGATTGTGTTGCTCTTGTTCATCATTCGATTTCAATAGCCAAGACGAAGAAGAGGAGAGCTCATAGGGCTTATGGGCAGGTAATTTGCAAGGTTCTTGAATGGGACCTTGCTAGGCTTCCCACCATTGTCTCAGCATTGAGCGAAAAGCGTGAACTATGTTTGCAGAATTCAGGCCAGGGTGAGGTTGAGGGCCAGGACAAATGCAAAGCGCAGGTGCCTTAAGGCTTGGTTTAGTTACCAGAGACGCTCGAGGCTTCGACATGACCAAATGGCATCATTTGCATTATCTACATTTGAGTTCCCATTCCGATGCATCACCGGAGTCCATCAAAGGATTTTCATCGCTCAAGGTAGTACAGCATTTTAATTTCTTCCAAAGGATTTCTCCATTATTTTCTTTTGATTTAAGAAGATTTTAGTTTAGTAGCAAAATAGTAGGCTCTACTGGGAAGTGGAAATTACTGTTTGAAACTAACAATTAAACTTTTTAATATTAGAAAACCGAGTATTAGTATAATCTTATTACCGTGAAATTAGAAATTTTCTTTTAAAAGAGAATTTTTTTTTTGGCTGCTAGATTTGAAGTTGAGAGAATCTGTGTGGTCACCTTCATTTTATTTGGTTATTTTTGTGGTTGTGGCTATGCAGAGCAGTGATCAAGAAGAACTAAAGAAATTGATGAAGGAAAGTGTTCAGGTATATTATTTGTGAAAGGGAAAGTGTTTAGCGACTCTTCCTCCTCGGCGAATAATTGCAGCAAATTAAGTCAGTGTGACAATTATACCCCTGTTGGTCCACGCGAATTGAGTAAAATGTAGTAAAAAGTCCTACATTGAAAGTAAAAAACTAGTTCAAGGACTAAATTGGTTAAAATATTTCATGAAGGACGAAATTGATTTAAGTGAAAATGTTTAGGGACCAAATTGGCGAAATTCCCAAAAATAAAAATAAAAATTGAGCCCAACCGCCCAACTTAGTGAAAAGTAAAGTAAAACAGGAGAAAGAGAGAGTTCGTAAAAAAGAGCAGATTTGGACTACCATTCTGGAATCGGTCGCCGGAGTTGGACACCCAGTCGTGGCCTGAACCATCGGAGGTGGTTGGACAGGGCAATCATGGTGAGCGATAGGATCCCTCCTCTTATATCCGCTCAGCTCACTCACCTTCTTGCCCACTGCCCCTTCTCCATCAAGGTAAAAC